ACCTTATGTATTATCTCAACAAAGTTTAAAGATTTCCTCTCCGATTATCACTTTAACACACCTCAATTCATCACAAGGAACACTATTATCCTCCATTTTCCTTAAAAATCTTTAAAAAAGCATAAATTTTGAACTCGTAATATTAAATCGCTTAAGATAAGCACACAGAGTAAATAAACATTGAAACGTGAAATGAACTTGCAAACGTATTGCCCGCGCGCCTCCGTTTTTAACAAATTTATTTCCAAAAGCCTGGCTTTAAATCTCTATACTAATTGCTATATTTTGCCATAGGTTAGAAAGAGAGCGATCGTCTTCTCGAAAGCCCCGTAAAAAGCCCACGCGAGCGAGGGAGACAACTATTAGCTCTAAACTCATTTTTTATGACAGCAGCAGTATCGCTAAGGCAATACGAGGTCATCGGTCGACATGTGTCGAACAGTGGAGTGCGCGGGATATTTGAAATAGCTTGAAACATATTACGAGTTATTTTATTAGTTGATATTATTGATTGATATTATTGATTGATTCAGGTTTAATAAGGCAAGCCCGGCTTTTCGGCTTTAATGGAAGCTTCGCCACTGCACTCGTAAAGAATGACAAGAAATAAAAAATAACTTAAAGAAATAAAAAATAACTTAAGTGTGTAATCTGTACTTTTTTATATATTTTGATATCATAAACAATCCGCTTCCCGCTAACACTCATAACACTCATCCTCTGCCCGCCGCAAATGGCTTTCCAATAATCCCGAGCGCCGAATACGCCGTCAACGCGGATTCACGGGCGGGCAAACACCCCCATTTCCTTTCCCTTCTCGTCGTCGAACGCGTCGAGAATTTATTGACGCTTCAGTGGCATGTGAGCACTCCGCGTCGACAAAGTTTCCTTCGATAAGACAGAGTTCGCAGACGCACAGTTAGCGAGAAATAGGTGACAGGGGAAACGTAAGGAGATCGCTTATCGTTGACATCCCATTAGGAGATATTTCTCGGTGGTGTGGGAGAGTTGCGAAGATATATGATAAAGCCATTGTATACTAAGGAATCGGCAGTATTAGGGAGGAGGATATTCGATAAGTATTTGCTTTGATACGAAATTGAATACATGAACTCGTTCTATAAATCTTGTTTGCCTTACGAAAAGCATCGTGGGGAAACCTGCATGTCTCAAAACACAAAAATATTTCGGAGACATGTGAAGTCCCCCAACACGCATCGGGGCAGCGAGGCAGACCAATACTTGTTCTAGAAAACTGTCATAAATGGGAGCAAAGTGTAGTGGAGGTGTAAGAATATCATCTACTCAATATTATCCCGTGGGTGTCGTAAGAGGCGACAGGGAAAACTAAAGCAGAAGATGGGAGGCAGCAGCATCTTATAGCATTATTTTTACTCGCCTGCTAATCATGGCAACTGTGGTAAAATCCTTCCTATAAGGCAAATTATGAAAGAGGCATATGTTCCGCAGTGGACTTTTATAGGTTGTAATGGATAGCAGGTAGATAGAAATGAGAGGAGGCCTGAAGCATATAGACTATGTATAGCTTTACTTTCTCTAAATCAGCCAGCTGCTCGAGAAGTATCTCTTCTATTGGAAAGTATTCCGAAATCATTACGGATGGGAGACTGACGACACTGAAACTTGTAGCCTAACAAGGTTCGATTGTTACACGAATAAGCTATAACAGCAGTAAACAAAACCCTCTCGTCTAAAACAGGCCGCTTGTTTTTAAACCGGCCCCAAAACAGAAATAAAAGATTTTAGGAACTCCTACAGAATGATAATGCTATATATGTATATATTGTAGTTAGAATTAATTTTTGTTAAAGATTAGATAAAATGATGTTTATTTCCATTAAAATCACGGTACGCCCTTGTAGGCTAAGACTATTTTAAATCTTAGTCCTCATAGGTACCTGTAGCATTTTTGTTCTCATAGACGGTTCGTACATTTGCCACTTTATTAAAGATTGTTAAACAACTGGTGGTCAAAATTTTAAATATTATAATTTTCAAAATCAAATTCATAAGCTTCACTATATATTCATGGAGTTTCAGAACTTTAATATTTTAAATCGAGAGTAGTTGGGAAGCCTATGCAATAAAAATTAGCATTTTTTGATATTACATTGGCGAAAAAGCTTACAGTCTACCTGAAGTGGCTACTGTTGCCACTCAACGGTTGCAATAAACTTACGCTACGTGCTATTTTGTTATGTACTAACAGTTGCATTACTTGATAAACAACTTTAATTATCTGTGAATCTGGTTGAAATATAGTTATAGCACAATTAACAAAGTATAATTTTTCTGAAAAATAGTCAGCAAATATGTTAACAAGCTGTGAAAATATTGTTATATGTAAATACACTATAACTGATAAACTCTTGTACACGGTACAGCCACGCTGCAGCTATTTTATGGTTGTATCACGAATGGGTCGGCACGACCGGGGAGGACAACGTTCTCACAGAATACCAGCGTAAAATAGCAGCTCAATGCTGCTGTGTTTCCTATGGTGAGTGTAGAGAACCGGAGGAGAGCCTTTTTACTGTAATAGCGATACTCCATCTTAGTCTTCAGAGGCGACAACGCATCTGCATATCGGTTCTAAATTGAGGATAGAGGTAGATGTCTATGGGCCACAGCATCCACTTATCACCAGGTAGACGGTGTACTCGTTTTCCGCCTTTATTCTATAAAAAATAAACCTTTCTACAGTTATCATTTTAAATATGTCAAAATGTGAAACTTCATGAGTCGGGATGCAAATGCACTGTGCGGCGTGTGTGTCTGCTCGTCAAATAACAAAACGACGCAACAAACTGTGAAGCAAATCAATTCCGTTATCAGACGGGGCTGTGGGAGGCAGGCGCGGTGGATAGGGATGAGAGTACTGTGGTCTAAGTGAAAAGCAGAAGTGATTGTTTATTTTAACTCTCCGTTATTTTTAGGTCTCCGATTAAAAAATCCGAAATAAAGAGCCTTCTTGATAATATCAAATACTAAGGATCGCCTTCGTATTCGATATTGGCACCTCGTTGGTCTAGTGGTTGCGGCTGCTCATCGTGAGGTCCTGAGTTCGAATCCCAGGTGGGACAAAATCAGTTATTAGGTTTACTGTTAAGAAATTCTCAGTAGTAGCCGGAGTTCCGGTAGCTGGCGGTGTTTTCACCCCCACGCCTCGAAAGCCCGTAAAAGCCGTAGGTCCTTCGCCTGATCCTCTCTCTCGGGTGGTGGTTTAGGATTACGGTACCACTGGACTAAGAGTGATGGAATAGTAAATTCAGCTTTACTTGTACACTATAATCCTGTCCTGAGTAGATTGGCCATACTCCGTTTTTGACGTGGTAGAGCCATAGTAACTAACTGTTGCACGAATGGGTCGGCTCGACCGGGGAAGGACCACGCTCTCACAGGATACCAGCGTAAAATAGCAGTTCTACGCTGTTGTGTTTTAGTATGGTTAGTGTAAAGAACCGGAGACCCTTATTACTGGAAATGAGGCATTCCATGTTAGTCCTCACGGGTGATAACGCATCTGCATTTAATTCGTAGTCGAGGATGGATGTGGATGTCTATGGGCCACAGCAACAACTTAACATCAGGTGGACTGTGTGCTCGTTTGTCACGCTTATCCTATAAAATAAGAACAAGATTGGCCGCCGTGACCGATATTCGGTCTGGAGGACATTATTAATAAGAATTTCTTGGAGGTGTAACTTGACAACATGATGTTATAATTTATCAAGTATAATCTCTTAGTAGAAATAGATTAAGTTCTCATGATTGATTTGTTGATTATACACAGTTTCAGTTTTGCGTCTTTTCGTTTTTGAATTTTAGAATGAGCGAGCGCTGGCTGTGTTCGCGCACACGTTCCTAGCACTTCATTTATTTACTTTACAGGTTCTAGTTGTGATCTTGGAAAAACTTCTTGAAAATGTATGAAATTCTTTTTTTGATTCGCAATAATCCCAAATGAACTAACAAAGATATTCTAATCAAAATCCCTTCTCGTGAAACAAATCGCTACATTCTTATATTTTACACCAGCGTTAAACAATCTACTCGAAATACCAATATGTTGTGATATCCCCAGTCTCCGGCTCATCATTCCGATCTCATCAGAAGCGAAACGTTCTAAAGGTCATACGCTAGCTACGCGAAAACAAACTGTTAAGCGAAAGCAACTAAAAACAATATACTATGCATTGAATTTCTTATAGGAAGCACTCTAGCTTAATACGGGAGGAACAGCGATAAACTATATAATTTAGTGCGGTAGCCTTTGTTCCGCTCTCGTTAAATTAACTGTAATCAGTGCTTTGTACGCATTTTCCAATTAAACTATATTTGGGGAAGCTGGAATTAAAAAAACATTGACGTTGGTTTGGATAGCGAAACGACCTGTTTTGTTTTAGAACTGAGATTATGTCGGGCACAAATTTAGATATGTGGATTTTTGTGTAACATACGATCTAAAGCGATTAAGTGCAAGAATGGAAACTAGGATTTTTGTTAGAAACTCACTTCACAGGCCCACTTTAACTGAAAATATTTTATAAGAAAAGAGTTAATGATCTTTACATTTTAATATTTCATATCACTAGTCACTACTCCCAGTTTTTCCTAGTTTTTTAAGTACAATACTATTTGTGGAACAGAAAGAATGATAATCGTATATCTCAGACACGCATTAATATTTAAAACAGTTTCTTGTAACAAGTACTTTGTGCTGTAATAAAAAAAACATGTGTGCAATTCACACGCGGTACAAGTGAAACCTACAGAAAAGGAGGCCGAAATAATTTGGAACACTGTGTACTGTATCCTATCTCATTAGCTTTCGCAGGCTAAATCCTAAGTATTAGTACATGTTTGTTTCTGTTTAGTGTAGATTTTTCGTTTCATCGAGTTCAAATAACGTTTCTAAACAAGTGTTTCATTCAATGATAAACAACACACAGCTAACATCATGATGTCACGTCACTTACCTTGATCTAGTTTCTCCATCTTTGTGGACGCCAGTCTTCTGTCGGGCAACGTTGTCGTTTGCTTTGGGCTATTCCGCTTTGATGAACTCCGCGACACCACCAGGGATTGAGGGATCTAAGAAAAATATTACTTGTCAAGTCTCATTCCTTTTTATTGAGGATGTGTACACATGTCAATAGATGCAAATCCTTAATAAATATGTACGTGGTAATTTGTATATATCCACTGTCGAAATTAATTAAGATAATTAAACTTTCTACAATATAATTATTTAAATGTTTCATTAAAGCAACGGCAACTGAAACCTGGTGGTTTCTATATTAAAACGGATTTTCTGTGTGATTGTTAAGCAATAAAGCAATGAGTTTAAAGGTAACTGCATACAGGACGGACGTGCACGTGACGGAGAACACGGACGGGAAATGTGACAGTAACTCGAAACTAACGTGTTAGTGTTGTGAAAGACGGATTTTTCATTTGAAGAATTGGCGTTAATTGCTATTGCTTTAGATGTTGCACAAGCTACAACCGTCAAGAGTAAAAGGAGATTTTCTGTACATCCTACGTGGCAGAGAAGAGAACAAGGAGAACGGGTCGTGGCACGCGCCGGGCGGGCCGGGGTGAATATCTTTGCCGACGATATTTTTCCCGTCCCGTTCATGCCACGTGCCCGTTCCGTGCGTAACATTCGTAACGTATGCATTACGTACATTTACCTTGAAACGATATTTCGAAAATTTTACGTCCCGCTCCGCTCGGAATAAAACATGTTACGTATGCAGCGACCTTAATTTGGTCCTCCGGGGCGTATTTGTATATACAGAATTGGATGGACATTTGCCGTGTGATGGTAGCGTAAAGGAACCCCATCATTTAAATTTTCCTTTGAATGTTATAGTTTGCGAAACATGACGGTAAACAATATCGTTTAAGCTCGACGTAAAACACTCGGACCGACGACGGACAGCAGCGACAAAGCTTTGAGACGTTTGGCACTATCTCTACAACGTGCAGCCTGTGTCTAGCAGTGCGCTATACGGGCTGACGATTATTTTCATTCTAAACAGCATTTTAAAAGTTCATTGATAGACATACGCATTCTCCATAGGGGGATTGTGACATAGTTGTTCGCTTGGCAAGCGGATTGGCTACCGAAATGTTTCATTATTTTCAGCTGTTATTGGCAAGATGCCGTTGATTGTTTCATCTCACTCTGTCGCATCTTACGGCACCCGTGGCACGATGAATATCTATATCTCTAAGTCTATATGAACAAATGATGACGAAGAACAACTATTGCTTGGTTCAAAAAGTGTCATAAGTAAGATGGTTAGTAGTATCTTCGAGATGGCCGCTCGTAGTTTAGCTGCTGCAGCCAGTTGTACTGCGCTCATCCACAGGGGTGCGCAAGCTGCGTGCTCACCAGCCACCACCCCCCACTCACCAGTTTGTCGGAGCGGTCTCCGGAGGGCAGGCGCGCGATGGTGACGTCAGCGCTGTCCTCGGGCGGCGGCGGCTGCTGCAGCCAGTTGTACTCGCGCTTGTCCACCGGCACGCCGCGCCGCTCATAGTCCTGCGCCTGCGTCCTGACCAACCACCCCACGTTACTACCCACTCCATTTCTTTTTAGAGGGGGATGACACACGAGTTCATAGTCCACATGATGGTAAGTGGTTACTGTGCCCCATAGACATCTACATCTTCGATTAAAAACAAAAATGCAGATGCATTCTCACTGCTGAAGACTAATATAAAATGAGTTTTATCCAGAGAAAAGTGTCTGGCTCCCTACACAAACCATACGAAACAAGTAATACTGCTGTGTTTCTGCTGCTGCTGATTTACGCTCGTAATGTGTTAACGTTACGTTGTGAGAGAGAACGCAATCCTTTATACCAGTCGAGCCAACCCATTTGTGCTATAACTATAAAACTATAATGCAGCATAGCGTAAATCTTGCAGTACGAGATCAATCTAAGTTTGACCGGCAAAAATTCATATGTTTATTGAAATTTTAAGTGCTAATTGGCCATGTGCTCAGCAATGATAAAAAACATCGTAAGGAAACCTGCATGTCTGAGGTATTAAATATTCTAAGGACATATCAAGCACGCCAATACGCCTTAGAGCAAAATGGCGGACTAATATATACTCCATAATTCTCTCAGAAATGAAAATAGATCTGTGTCCAATGGGACGTATAGTGAGCGTGCTTTACCTTTTTTAAACATACTAAAAATTAAATTTACCAAATTCAACCATAGTAAATCCAAATCACTTCTAGGAATTTTAAAAGAAAGATGATCACAGATATTGTTAACTATGAGAACAAAGACGGAAATATGTGATAATCATCGTTTGTAATTATATGTCCCTCTTACCCTTCAAAGCGCAACAGGACAGAAAACGCATTGTATGACGTGAAAAACAAGATTAAGAGGGCATATGCGTTTCGCGTCGAAAACTACATGTTTTATAGTTTTTCCAAAGGCGATATCGTAACGACGTGAGGAGATTATTTGCTGAAAATTAGGGCTTTAGAAAGATGAAGTCTTTATTTAGTACATAGCAATGCAAATTTTCAATGACAGTTTTTTAGGGCGAAGACAATCCCTTCACAGTGTTTTACGAAAATATGCATCAGAGTTATCTTTCAGGTTGAATACAACCATTATTATAAGCTAAAATCTCTATTTTAAGCGTTATTATAATGGAATATATAGTCTTTTAGTGTATAGCAAAACCTAAATTACGAAAATATTTCGATTTCATATTATAAAATAATATTATAAAATCACCAAAACTGTCTACTTCAATGTAATTTTTTCCATGTATTTGCTTATAAACATAACTATTTTAATTATTTTATCAAAATACATCTAATATTAAATATCCAAAAAAATTTTTAGCACGTTTTATTTTGTCAATTATTTTATATAATTATTTTAAAAATACTATAAAATATCATGCGCAGACGCCGTTCGATTCAGTACGCTCCGGGTAATCCCAACGACAGGACGTATTAACCCCGACACCGCGCGATCGCGTTGATACACCGATAGGGCTATACTACACCATACTATAACTAGATACCTATAGCACCATCGAGCATTTTAAACGATTGACACTTTTATAAGCGATATTTTTGGTAGTAAGTAATTTTGAAATACGTTTATGATTGTAATATTTAAATATTAAATGATGTAATGGTGGCAAATTTTCATTTCATACATATTTTTTTAGAAATTAATAATGAACGTAAGCAATTCGGATCAAGTAAAAATACAAAATCGTTGGCTTTCACCTTTGGCTCCGTGGCGGAGTGACTTGGAAATGATTTTGTAGCGCTGAGCGCCGCAGTTTCGAATCCCACATGTAACAAAAATTTGTATTACCTACAAATAATTGTTCCAGGTCTGGATGTTTGTCCTTGTGAAATTAATGTATTTAAACTGCCCCAACGATGTACTTAGGAAAAATTCCTAGTGTGCAGATAACGTTATGATTAAAGAAAGACATGCCATCAAAATCATAACTTGTAAAACAAGTCTCTCAATGATGATACGGCGGTGCCGCTGTTTTGCTCGACTTGGCTAGGGGCACTACCGTGCCCCCAGATATAAAACATATGAGCCGTGCTTGAGTTGAGTAGCTCAAGGGCGTAGTGCTCGCCGTAAACGCGAACAATCCGGGCTCGATCCCCGCTAGTGTTGCCAGGTGTCCCGATTTTCAAGGGTCTAGTGACACGTCCCGATTCACCCTTGATCGGGACGCCAAATGTCCCGATTTTCACTAATCTTCTTATTCTATACTTTAATCCATAATTTTGATAGCAAAAATGATTATATCTGTTAGATACTACCACATTAAAGAAAAATTCAGGGACTGCAAAAAAAAACAAATAGTTCAAAAATGTTTTAATTTTCCTAAAATGAAAAAAATTAAGTTTTTACGATGTTTGGATGAAAACTTATTCGTTTATGACATCAGACCCGAATAATAATTATAAAGCACAAAAATAAAGTAAAGTTACAGTCACAATTTCTCGCATTACTCGCATACTGTGATATTTACAGTTAGCGTTGACCATCTGAGCTACAACGGCTCTCAATAAAGCACAAAAAGGCTACAAAGAACCTATATTTTGTAGTCATTGTAGTTGTCCGGGTATGAAAACCAAATCCCCGATTATTTTTACCTTCCGTCCCGAAATTTTACTTGCTAGACCTGGCAACACTAATCCCCGCCGACACTAATGAAATTGTTAGTTTGATGAATTATGTTTACATTATGAAACAGAATAAAAGTTTATCAAATGATATATATTTTATACAATACATATTTTTCAATTAGAACATATACATATTATAATATACTCAATAGGGTGAAAATGTAAAGCCGACTTCAATTTACTAAAAGAATAAAACAATTGTCACATATTAGCCTCCGATTTCTATACACTATATAAGCCATTATATGGAAATTATTTTTTTATTATTTTAGTTCCAACAGTATCAAAGACAGGTATATAATCAAAGATCAAAGTGATTCGTAGTCGTCGTTAGGCAACTATTATAGCCTCACGCTCGCACTGACACGCACACAGAGATAACATTGTACTGTGCGTCAATATTACGCCGATCCAAAGCGATCGCGTAGATTTCGACTTGGACATATTTTAATATGCGCTCTTAAAATCATCCGCGTACGACTGCGTGAAAATTATTATTATGAAAACACTTTTCTAGGTCGTTCCTAAAAATGAAGAAGAAGAGGGGGCCAATAATAGAGCCTGTGGTAACAACTAGCTCAATATGAATTTATTAAAAACCACACTTGAAGTTCTATTCTACACGTACGAGCGCAACTAGTGTAACAAGTTACCAAGAACCCTATTGAACATAAATATCTTAATGATTCACCTTCTTGGAAGCATTACAAATATCTGTGTAATGCTTTGATTTGTCCTTCTGAATCCAATTTTTAGAATAAAAGTTTTTAAACACAATAAGATTGCCAACAACAGGTCGTTTTAACAAATCCGTTCTGTTCAGGGTTGACGATTGAGTATTACTTGGGATAAAAAAAAAACATAATGGTTTAACCTCTCAGACCCCGACATTAGTTTTTGAAATATTGTTGTGTTTTACTTTATTCTGGATTTTCTTCCGATTTTATGGGAAATCTCCGAATTTTCGATAAAATCATTGTATAGAAGGCGCTTTACAAACTGAAATTTGTACAAACTGACATAAAGAATATCTAAATATCTTTTATGTTTGATCTGCAAACAAACTTGATTAAACACACAAACAACACCAACAGTTATTTCCCCTATGTCCTGTGTTAGGAGTAAGTGGTATGTGCTGATGCGGACACTAACTCAACGTAATAATGGAGCAACAGAATTGTAATAAAGTCTTAATAAACCTAATATTCTACTATAAATAAATTTTACAAATGAAATAATTCTGTAACACGCCATCTGCACGATTGGTCAAGTCATCTACCTGCGAAACTGACGTAGTTCTCTACAAATTTATTCAATGGCGCTGTTATTATTGCCGCATAAGCCCCATACATTAGTTGACATGGCCTGGAATGAAGTGAATGCGACGCGTAATTGCGGAAAATCGTCATTTTAAATAAATTATCTCATTTTATAGAAGCACAAACCTACACTTTTATCGGTACCATACGTGAAAAGTAATTATAGACAAAACTCTTTTATAATTCGATCATGCAAATCCTTTAATGCTACAGCACATATTCACAATGTGGATATTAACGTATTTCATTCCAGCGTTCCCCAACTTAGGCGTTCACTTTCTAACAATTTCTTTTCTTTTTGATAGCGTACTTACTTGCCATATACTTGTACATATCTCTTTTGACACAATCTTGTTTATTACAAAGTATTATATAAATGAAAACTTGTAATTGGCCTTCATTTTTTTATAATTATATTATTTTTGTAAATTAGCTGTAAGATTTCCAAGTAAATAATAAATAAAAAATAAAAAAGTTATTTAGTAATGAGACTAGATCTAATAAACTTTCTTGGATTTTAGTTGTATAATGCTTATAAACAACATTTAAAAAAGAATTGTTCTGGGGGGTCTACAAACGCGGCATGTACGAACTCAATGTACTTCACTACAACTACTATCAATATCAATATTTCAAGGACATTCGACAAGTTGGATTGCAGATACTCGTAAATAAGATGATATTTAATAACGTTCCGTTTCTACCCGACTATCCAAAGAAAAGGAAAAAAAAATCTAGAGATAAGTTTTATTAAATAATATAGAAATTAAAATAATACTAGTTTTTACGGAATTTATCGCGTATATTTAACTTGATAATTACCCGACGTTTCGAGAGCTTTACAGCACCCATGGTCACGGGAAGGACTGAGATGTTCAACGTCCAGCTGTCATAGTTAACCGCGGTTACCATAGATTAAAATTTAACTTTTGTTCCGATCTACACAGTATGAACTTATGGTATCATGGAGTCTTGTAGTTGTATGCTTGGGTTGGGATTTAATTTTATTTATTATAGGATCCCAAGCAGATGGTAGCACCCAGCCATCTTCTCTATTGAAATTAGGATGTTTTTTGATTTCAATAGCCTCGCGAATCATCCTTGGAAGGAATCGGTGTTCTTTAGCGAGGATTTGTGGTCTATCAAATCTGATGTAGTGACGGGGGCGATCCTGTACATGTTCACAGACTGCAGACTTCCCGGAGCGTCGATTCTTCACATCAGCTATATGTTCTTTGACGCGGGTTTTAATGGATCTTTTAGTTTGTCCTATGTAGGAGAGACCACATTCACAATCAAGCTTGTACACTCCTGCATCTTGCAGAGGGACGTTACACTTGACTGATGGTAAAAACTGACCAATCTTCTTCGGCGGCTTGAAGTATGTTTTGATGGAAGCGCGCTTCAAGATGTAGCCAATCTTGTCAGTGACTCCTCTAACATATGGCAGTACAGCAGGTACACGCTCGACTGTGGCCGGCTTCACTCGTTCTCTGTGACGTAGGCGCGGGACCCGAAGCTTGTTGTCATGCAAAACTTGCTTGACATGTTGGAGCTCGGCAGCCAGGTGTTTACTGTCACAGATCCCTCGTGCTCTCTGAAACAAAGATTTACCCACGGTAGCTAACTGTGAAGGATGGTGGTGAGAATCACCGTTTAAATATCTATCTGTATGGGTCTTTTTTCTATACACAGTATGGCTCAAGGTGTTATCAGGATTCCGAATTACTAACACATCTAGAAAAGCTAAGGAATTGTTTGCCTCTAACTCCATTGTGAACTGAATTTTAGAATTTATAGAGTTAAGATGGTCTAAAAATGCAGTTACTTTATCTAAAGGTAGAATTGTGAAAGTGTCGTCTACGTACCGCTTGTAGAAACTTGGATTTATGGGAGAAGTAAGCAGGGCTTTCTCCTCAAAGTCTTCCATGAATATGTCAGCGACAATGGGAGATACAGGTGAGCCCATCGCCACACCATCTATTTGCTTGTAGAACTCCTCCTTCCACAATAGGTAGCCAGATGTAAGGCAGTGTCTGAGTAATACTGCATATTCTACGGGCATGTTGTTTTCTTCCAGCCTTCTAGTTACAATTGAGATGCAGTCTTCAACAGGTAAGCATGTAAACAACGACTGCACATCAAAACTGACCATAGTTTCATTGTCTGCCAGACGTAGGTCTTTAATCTCGCTGACAAAATTCAATAGAGAAGATGGCTGGGTGCTACCATCTGCTTGGGATCCTATAATAAATAAAATTAAATCCCAACCCAAGCATACAACTGCAAGACTCCATGATACCATAAGTTCACACTGTGTAGATCGGAACAAAAGTTAAATTTTAATCTATGGTAACCGCGGTTAACTATGACAGCTGGACGTTGAACATCTCAGTCCTTCCCGTGACCATGGGTGCTGTAAAGCTCTCGAAACGTCGGGTAATTATCAAGTTAAATATACGCGATAAATTCCGTAAAAACTAGTATTATTTCAATGTGTAGTGTTCGCGTAAATATAAGAAATCAATATAGAAATTAGTTTAGTAATAGTGTTAGCAGTGTATTTAAAATACTGTTAGCAAATTATCTGGACCCGGGCATTTTTTTAAGTTCACAGCCTTTAATTCTTTTGTGATAGTTACCAGAGACAAATAATAAAAAAATAAAATCGCAATCAAATAATCTAACGGTACTCGTTTCATAGATTAAGCCAAAAAAGAAAAGAAGATATCAAAAATAATCGGTAATCACATTCCTAGTGTAATGACAATTCATTCCTTCATAATACTGAACTTTTGCATGCATTAGTTTTACCGATCATATAACAGAAATAAGACGGTACTCGTCCAGTGCCACTACTAAACCAGTTCGGCGTCAACACACATAATCGCTAATTAAAAAGTAATTATTCAAATTCAAGATAATTCGAATAACCGGTAAAAATATTCAAATAATGGAAACTCTTACCGTGTAGTGGCGGTGTTGGAATATCCACTAGCCCATACATTGCAGTGGGTGTCTTAAGAGGCAATAGAGACAAATCAGGAGATAAGCAGTATGCGGTGTTGATAGTAGTGGTACTTGGAGTAGTGGTGCTGGGACTAGTGGTGACGGAGTTAGTGCACGCAATTGAGGGAGTACGGGAGGTGCTCTTCAATCCAGGTAAGACACATCATTGTAATTAGTTAGCGGAAGGTTGCAAAGTAATTAATGTTTTTATTGTAATGGATTTCCGCAAAGAGAACGAGAAATTAAAAATATAACCAATTGGGACAACGTTATATTCATTGACAAAAAATAGCTAACACTACTGCAGATATAGACATATGACTTTTCCCACACATTTTCCCACAGGCACGTGGTCCCCATTATTTGTCTGGGATCAGCCGGAGGTTTTATAAAAAATACAACTACTATCTATACAAGGGATGACTATAAAAGAGTAATTAGTTTTGAATGCATTGTAGAAAATCGAGTTAAAATTAATGTAAACAACGATGATGATAACATAGCGAAAGTGATTAAACTTTTAATCTAGTGCAATCTTTAAATTATATAACTTAATCTGTAGAATTCACCAGTAAGCAATAAATATAAAGAAACTGATGGATTTTGTGTTTTAAGTTATCTGTTTCTTATTTATTCGGGTAATAATCTAGATAAAACTGTAAATGATTACAGACTATAAAGAACCGATATCTTTAAAGAATCGAATATTGTAGGTACCGATTTTGCAGTTGGTATGCCTACTCCAATAAATGTAACAGTTGTCAGAAGGTATTTCTTAGATTTGGTTGAGTATAACCTAAGAAATTTCTTAGGCTTACACTGCTTGATATAAATTGAATACACAGAGCAGTAAGTAAAATAAGGAAAAATACAATAAAAAGTATCACACTCACCTTAAACTTTCGTAACAGTCTAAGCATACTACTGCGTAGTCGCCATTTTCTAATAACAATGAATTTTCATTCCGCCTTTGAACTAAAAATGGAAATTCCTGTAACAAATCAAACGGTATTATATTACTGAAAAAGTTTGACAGCATCATTTTACACATTTTAATTATCAATAACACCGGTTTACTTTACTTGATACATCATGAGAAATAAAATCCTGTTACTTTTTCTTGCTATTCCCGTTCAAATTTAAAAAATAAACAGAAAAATGTAAGGGAGTTCTTTTAAAAAAAATCCGTTTCGGAATTTTGAAATCTAGTGCAAATAAAACCGGCCAAGAGCGTGTCGGGTCACGCTCAGTGTAGGGTTCCGTAATCCGTAGTTTACAATCCGTCACAATAAGTGTTCCCACTTATGAGTTTAAAGGTGGGTATCCATTATGTTCGCGCTCCAGCAGCGCTCCGCGCTCCTGCAACTGCTTCCGGTAGTGGGTACTGTTGTTTCCATCCAAGTTCAAAATGATTTTCCTAGAAAGTCCTTATAAAGTTCTACTTTTCAGATTTTTTTCATATTTTCTAAACGTATGGTTCAAAAGTTAGAGGGGGGGACACATTGTTTTTTACTTTTGGAGCAATTATTTCCGAAATTATTGACATTATCAAAAAATGATTTTAGTAAACCCCTATTCATTGTTAAATACCTTTCCAATAATACATCACACGTTAGGGTTGAAATTAAAAAAAAATCATTTCCCACTTTACATATAGGGGGGCTACCCTAATAAAACATTATTTTCCAATTTTTTTTTACCACTTTGTCGGCGTGATTGATACACATATTAGTACCAAATTTCAGCTTTCTAGTGCTAACGGTCACAGAGATTAAGCGAGGACGGACAGACGGACAGACAGACATGGCGAAACTATAAGGGTTCCTAGTTGACTACGGAACCCAAAAAAAGAGGATAATATTTGATGGTAGAAACACTTCTGTCAAGGATTCTGTCTGGGTAAATAACTATTTGGTAGACAGAGATGTTGGGCAGCGTAGTCGTGCGTGTTGTACTGTCGTACCGTACTACTGTAGTACGTACCTTAATGGGCAGCGCCCGCACTCGCTTCCTATAAGTCTTGATGCCGCACAGATGGCAGTGGTAGTCGTGCGTGTTGTACACGCGTCTCTCCGCCGGGTACCCGCCCAGCGCCTCGTACCTGCACACAAGCGGACACATACAACAACAGCCTTTAAAACTCAATTATAGACAATAAGTTACACACACAACACACACACATATATATATATATATATATATATATATATATATATATATATATATACTTTGACTACCGTAATGATGAATGTGTCATATTCAAGCTGTGGTGGCGTCTGACGGACGTAATTTTTGAAGGGAATTTCTAAAAAAGTATCTTGTCCCAGCTTTTTCCTGATTCTGCAAATGTATCAGTAAATATGTTTGTAAATAAAACAAGTAAAAATATTGAACACAACTTTTATTTATAACTTATTTATGTAACTTATATTGAGTGAGATCAATATTTTAATTTTTTAGACACTATAATAACATCACAGTAAATCCCTGGCATAAAGTAGTAACTTTACTTAACTTTGTTTTTCTAATACCTAAAGGTCCAATTAACGAGATTCATTTATAATTAGCAGCCTTCAACAAACTTTAAGAAAAATCACAAGGGTTAAAAGTAAAAAGTTTTGTAACAATTTATTCTTATATTCTTTTACTTTCTTATACTTTTACTACTACTAGCTTTTTGTTCTAGACAAATCTTATATTTCTTAGTATAGTTAGTCTATTATAAATAATTTTCTATTTTGTTTGAAAAAAAAACCTTAATTTATTTTTTAAAACAACATTAACGATCTTAGAAAAACAAATATGTAATATTAGGTATATTTTACTTGCAGTCATTGCAAATCTGACTGCAGCAACAGCACGCACGGCACACTGGTTTAGCACAGACACAACACTTTGTTCGCCTTCTCATCTTACTTCGGCACGTGACACATATTTTTCGAACTTCAAAGGCTTGTGCTGTTCAAGTTGAGGGATTCGGGGGCATACCGTCTTTTCCAATTACTCTTTCAATAGTGCATCTTAGTTCTCTGGGACTTTTCTTGCTGTAAACTCTCAATTTCATTTGAGGCAATACTAATTCATGAGCTAAACTGCGCAGTTCAAGTTTTTGGCGTTTTCAAAATCATTATGTAATATATAATCATTGACACCACTCACGTCAAGCAACCGGTAAAAGGTAGCCATCAGCCAACGTCTAGTTTTACGAGAGCATGAGTAGTTTACACATTTTTTTGTCTACCTCAGTCACGCCTCCTTTTTTTGATTGTAATCTATGATTATCATAAGTTTTTTGTTGCTGGGTCTGTCTCTCTCTCTCATGATGCGTGGACGAAATGACTATTACAGCTTTATTCAGTTTTGCAACGTTAGAAATAATTGTAAAGTCTTTTATAAATCCGTACATTACTTCTCCAACGTTCTTGTCCTTCTGAGCTTGAAACTCTGGTGGTATTTCCTTTTGTTCTACTTCATTGTACCTAGCTATGTTAAACCTCTCTCTTTTAGTCATTCCATAGCTTGAACTGAAGAAAAATAATTATCCGTAGTAACATTTCGGTGACTTCCGTCAATTACTTTGCACAAATGTAACAAACATTGAGTAGGCTCCCCCAATTCCTTCTCTGATTCTGAAAGCCCTACTCCATCAGATTCCTTGCCAAAATAAATATAAGCGTTATAGATGTAAAAAGTTTGAGCATCAACTAATAGAATAAGTTTAATTCCAAATTTAGCTGGTTTACTCAGTAAGTAAATTATGAATTTGCTCTCGTCAATATAGACATGTGTTCCAAGCGTGTAATTATTTTAGCAATTTTTTATGAATTTTCGAAAATTTCTGAGATAGCATCTTCTAAATTTTCAACAGGAATAGGTTGCGTGTTCTGATCACGCTGATATTTCCGTTATCTTGAAGTTGATGCCTGAGATTCCGACATCTAAAAATAACAAAATCATTATAGCATATATACCGTCTGACGACTACAAGACGTTTAGTAAAAAAAAATAAACACTGTGCAGGCGTCTTCCAGACACAAAGAGATAATAACATAAGTACCGACCTAGCGTCTGTGAGACGTCAACTGCAGCGTGGCGGCAAATGTATGCATCTTATGGACTCTTGCGCTACACTGCGGGTTAGTGCAATGGGCTGAGGGAAGGTACTGCGGGGAATAAAAGTGAAGTGTACGTGGGGCGGTCAAAATAATACCGGGAGAAGATATGACAACGTCTGTCAGACGTCACTACGGCAGTTAAAGGATATATATATATATATATATATATATATGAAGCGATAGTAGCCTAATGGCAGGGCGCGGACCGCGAACTCAAAAAGGTCGTGGGTTCGAATCCGCCATTCGACTACTGGCGTGAACCACTCGTACCACAAGCGTTTAAACCACCCCCACTCCCCCCACATCAAACATACTCCCCCCCCCCCTCACACTACCCCCCCCCCCCCTCCTTTACCACGAGTGATTTAGTAATGTTTATAGCATTGTTAATATTCTTTTAATAAAAAAAATAAAAAAATACGTACAAACTATAGATAAAAGTTTTTGGTCGTGCCTGTTCTCATGAGCCTTTGTCATATTCACATGGACTCAAAATAAACTTGATTTTCCTATATGGCTACAATGGTTATCCGAGTACAGAACGAATACGAAACTTATCCAACTGCAGAGAGGTTTAAGACAGGATGTCAATATATACCTGAAACTCTTCACCGCTGCATTGGAAGACGTTTTCAAGCTACTGAACTGGAAAGGTATTAACATCAGTTGTGAAGACATCACTCACCTTCGATTTGCCGACGACATAGTCCTTATGGCAGAATCGCTGGAGGACTTAAGCACTATGCTCAATGACCTCAACAGTGACCACAAAAGACAAAACTAAGATCATGTGTAACGTCCATGTCACATCTATGCCGGTAGTTGTTGGGAGCACTAACTCTTATTACTGTTTTTCTAACGTCTTCAGGCGTTCCAGAAAAATGCAGCCTGAATGATAAAGACTTTCTAACGAATTTTGTGAAATCTAGTGGAATACTTTTTTTAATAATAGGATAAGGTGACAAAGGAGCACACTCAGTCCACTTGATGGTAAGTGGTTCTGCGGCCCATAGACACCTACATCTATCCTCGATTACAAATCAAAATGCAGATGCGTTGTCACCCGTGAGGACTTAGGTGGAATGCCTCGTTTCCAGTAAAAAGGGTCTCCAGTTCTCTACACACACCATACGAAACACAGTAGCTTAAGCTACTACTTACTTAATTTATAATTAGACGAGGAACGCAGACTTCAATCATGCGTTGAGGAAAAATACTGAATTTATTTCCTTGAGATAAGGAATCGTTGGATCGTTTTATCATAAACGACGAGAAGAGTCACGACTTTGTTTAATAGTGAGCCATTTAAGACATGAGCGATAGTAAGAAATATGATCAAACTTACAAAGACTGAAAATATTCGATCCGTTAATTACAAATGTTGTTTGCTTAAGTTTCATATAATATTCTTTTAAACAAATAATCACTCCATTTTTTTTTTAATAGAAGAGGGGGCAAACGAGCATGCGGCTCACCTGATGTTAAGTGACTACCGCCGCCCATGATCAACCGCAACACCAGGGGAATTGCAGGTGCGTTGCCGGCCCTTTAGAAAGGAGTAAGCTCTTTTCTTGAAGGTCGCCAGGTCGTATCGGTCCGGAAAAATCGACGGTGGTAAACTATTCCACAGAGAGGTTGTACGCGGAAGAAAACTCCTTTTGAAACGTACTGTGGTGGACCGCCAAGCATCCAGATGGTGTTGATGGTATCGGGACGTTTGCCGCGTAGTGCGTTCACGAAATTTGGCGGCTGGGATTAATCCGAACAATTCCTCAGAGCACTCTCCATGGTATAAGCGAAATAAAATACAAAGAGATGCAACATCTCTTCGCAGTGCCAGTGAATCGAGCCGATCGGAAAGCACTCGGTCGTCGACGATTCGAGCCACTCTGCGCTTGATGCGGTCAAGTGGAAGGAGCTGGTACTGGGGAGCCCCAGCCCAGAGATGGGAACAGTATTCCATGTGCGGCCGAACCTGCGCCTTGTAAAGTCGCAGGCGGTGTGCCGGCATGAAATACTGTCCCGCTCTGCTGAACACGCCAAGCTTTTTAGAGGCCAATTTGGCCTTCTCTTCCAAATGACCACGAAACTGCACGTCACTCGATATGTCAACGCCGAGGATTCCGATACTGGCTGAGGCAACAAGGGGAGTGCCCTGAAACTAAGGAGATACGACAAAGGGGTTCTTTTTAGCGGTTAACGCGCAAACTTGTGTCTTCTGGGAGTTAAACTGGACTAGATTTAGTCGCCCCCAATCCGAGACTCTGTTCAGCAAAGATTCGACTTCACACACAAGTTTGTCCCGGCACTCGGAGACGTTTTCCCGAGAAATATTGGCTCGGCCGGTGTAAAGAACATCACCAGTGCTGTCATCCGCATAGCAATGAATGTTACGGGTTTGCAACATATCATTGATATGCAGAAGAAACAGCGTTGGCGATAGCACGCAGCCTTGTGGAACACCAGCATTAATAAGCTTGCAATCGGAGCTTGCACCGTCTACAACGACCTTGATGCTCCGATCTGCAAGAAAGCTGGTGATCCAATCGCACAATTTCTCGGGAAGCCCATAGGAAGGGAGCTTCGAAAGAAGCGCTTTGTGCCAAACCCGATCGAAGGCCTTCGCAATGTCCAAACTAACGGCCAATGCCTCCCCCTTGGACTCTACTGCCTCCGCCCATCTGTGAGTTAGGTAGACCAGAAGATCACCAGCTGACCGACCACGGCGAAAACCGTATTGGCGGTCACTTATCAGCTGGTGATCCTCAAGGTACCTCATGAGCTGGCAGTTTACAATAGAATCCATTGTTTTGGAGAACAAGGAGGTGATGGCGATAGGCCGGTAGTTGGGACGGGTCTGAGCGGTCGCCTTTTTTAGGGATCGGGTGGACGAAAGCCATCTTCCATGATTTTGGGACTACACCTAGGGAGTAGGAGTACCGGAAAAGACGCGTTAAAACCGGTGCCAACTCTGGAGCACACGTCC